ATATAGATACTTTTTTGTGAAATTTATTTTTATTTTAATAGTTATTTATTTATAGAGATATCTTTTGTTTTGTTTTTAAAAAATAAAAATAAAAATAAAAATGACAACACTTAATGCCCTGATATTTGTGTAGGATTTTCATTGTATAGTGTGTTTTTCTTAAAATACAAGAAAGTGTATAGAAAAAATAGACATAATATAGGAATGTTTAGTATAATTAATCAAATAATTTTTTTTTATTCAAACTCAAAAAGGCTTATAATATTAGTATGAAATAGGAGTAGTTTCCGTAGTCAAAGGGTCCCTAAAGCTAGGAAACTAATATAAACTATGGTTACAGGGGTCAAATTAGAAAAAAATCTAGCACTGGTCACGTAGGTATAGCGTAGTGGTCAATGAAGTGAATTGAGAACCATGAGATATCAGATTTAAATCTCAACAAAGACAAAGAAATGGGTGATTTCTTTTCTTCCCATGTGTCTAACCTAGTCGAAAAGTATCAAAATTGACCCGAACACGGTTATTAAAAAAAAGATTGATATATGAATAATAGTCCAGCTAGTAGGACAGGATGATGTAATAAGGCCATAGAAGCAGCCCAAAATAAGAGCTCTTGCAGGCAGGGAAAGGGCAGGGCCAAGGCCTAGAAGAAGAGAGATTCTGGCGGATAATGCCACAAATGCCTACATATTATATATAATATGAAAGAGACTTAATACTATACAAATAGACAATTTTGTACTAATTTTACTTGTGTAGCCTGCACGGATGACGCAGATTGCTTATACAACATCCAAAATATCCCTCTTCTTTGTTTTTGTTTTAACTTTTTATACAATATATCTCACTATCCCTCACCCCACCTATAAATTAGTCGTACATTTTTTTTTAGACTTCGAAATTCATAAACTCAAAATCTCAATTTAAAACTATGTTACACGTGTCTCATTTACGATCATGATCAAGGATGGAGAAGCAATAACTTACATCTTTAACATCTTGTTCAGTCACAAATCCATTTCTCAACATAGTTGCTCCAATATACACTGCCATCCTTACTTTTTTTGGGAATTTGTGAGTTGCATCCGTGACACTCAGTCCTCCAGCGCTGTGTCCTACCAAAATTACCTATTACAACAATCATGTTCACAAGTATTATAAGTCTGTTATACGCAGTCTTACCTTAAATAGAATTTAGATAGATCGAGGATCGAACCTGTTCATTTTGAGGCAAAGATGAGAAGAAATTGATGAGAGGTTGATTATAATCATCAAAGGAAATAATAGTTGTAGGATCATGAGGATGAATTCCAGAACCTTTAAGGTCAAGACATGTAACTTTATAGCCTGAAATCTCCATAAGTGACTTGATTTTGTACCAACACCATCCACCTCCACTAATTCCATGTATTAAAACAAAGTGGATTTTTGATACTTCTTCTAATTTTTCTTCCATTTTCTCTTTTTCTACAAAGTGCTCTTCTCCCATCTTGGATTTCACAACAAATCTAAGGTTTATATATACTACTTGGCCTCTCCTTGTTCACTAATTTCAAAGTGGGGAAGGAAGGAAGGAAATTATTTTTTTTCTAGTAATTTATAAGTGACATTGTTTTGCTCTTTGTCAACATGTAGTTGGGATAGTCTCTAATGTCATCATATATATATAATAAATGTATTTTACTGTAATTTGTAACTGTTGAATTAGTAGATTATATCAATGTTGGACCAAGACAGCTGGAGAGACCATTTGAGTCAACTTAATTTAAATAGCTTTTAAAAAATTTAAATTTATGATGTAATATACTCCCTTCGTTTCTTTTTAACTGTCACAATTTCCTGATTAAGAGTCAAACAGTATGAACTTTGACTAAAAATTTAGTATAATCTAATTTAGCTTTGAAAATCAATCAAATTGACAACTAAAAAAATGGAACGAGTATAATCCTACTTGTTATTTCGGTATTTAAAAGAGATAGAATTAGTGCTATGTTGCCTAGACTATTCCCACTTTGTAATGACTCTTAGTTATGTTTAATGAATAAACTTTTTTTACTACCAAAAAATTAATAATATAATTCTACTTATACTATATTCTAAAATAGAGAATTAATTAAAAGTTCTCCACTAGAATTAGTTATGTTCAAGAGACAAAGAGGTGTACTAATTAAGAGTCAAACAATATGAACTTTGACTAATATTTTAATATAATTTAATTTAACTTTGAAAATCAGTCAAATTGACTCTTAAAAAACACAACATAACAATAAAAAAAGAATGAAAGAAGTATAGTCCTACTTGTTATAAGTGACATTGTTTTGCTCAAAGGAGAGTGAAACTTAAATTGATTCTTATCACTTTTAATCCAAGGTTCCAAATTATTTATTAGATTCTTTTTTTATAATTAAAAATTTAAAGATCCTTTTAATTTATTGTAAAATTTGAGATTATGTTGCTGAAACAAAATAAAAGAATACTATCATAATTCATAGGACAGACATCTTCGATAATGGAGATTTGTCAGGTAATAAGAATTAGGGGCATGTTTGTTTGTTTCAAATAATTCATTTCACAAATCAGGTTTGTCGGCCTTTTGACATTTTGAGGATTTGCCTTATCAATTATCATCACATATTTTTAAAGTTAATTTTGTATTTTTTAAATAATCGATGATGATTAATAAGTTAAAAACAGTTAAGAAGAACCCAGCAAGCTGTTTCCCCCCAACTTCTACAATTAATTAAGTAGTAATTACAAACAAGTGTAGTCTCTCCTCTATGCGAATTTAGGTTTTAGGACTCCTTCCCTTCATTTTGTTTTTTCCGTCTCAAAATAATTGTCATTTTAATAAATAAATAATTAAAAAAAATAATTCTAAAAGTAAGTATTTCATTTCTATTTGTTTGGTTTAATTTGATTTAACAGGTTGACACGGCATTTTAAAAAAAAAAGTTTTGAATCTTGTAGTATGAAACCAAAATATGTCAAATGTATCAAAATGTCCATTAATCTTGTTATTTTAAACATGTCACATGGAAAATTGAGATTAAAGTGTTGTTAAAAAAGAAAATAACATTCTTTTTTGAAACTGACTAAAAAGAAAGGTAGATCAAACACATTGAAATAGTCGAAGTATGACCATCTTAATGATTCAAGACAAAAAATAGGTAATATATTTTTTTCAGTTATACTTTTATATTAAAGAACTACTCTACTTTTTAATAATGGTCAACTTTTAAAATATATCTTTAACATATGGATAACTTAACAAACTATGTATTCTATTTATTATTTTTCTTGATGGACATGAAATGATCTAAAATAACACTTATTTTGAGATGTAGGAAGTATGTAATAAATATTTTTTTTGTTTAACTAAATAATATCAAAACTCTTTACTTATATAATAATAGTATCTTTACTTTATCTTTATCGACATGACTGGTTAGAATTTCACTAGTGTTTTAGAATAGAAAAAATGAATAATATTATAAATATAAATTAATTGTATGAGCTTGCAACTAAATAAATTTGTAATTGAATAAACTTGCCATCAAGCACACATGTTTTAGGTACTCCTCCTCTCCCATACTATGAAACAAATATAGATTTTTTAAATTTTAATTTAAGAAAATTAAATTTTATTTATACTAATAATATTTTTACTTTATCTTTATTGGCCTGGCTTGTTAAAATTTTACTAAATATTATTTAGAATAGTAAAAGATGAATGGACATATAAAACTCTAATCACATTTCATTTTATTATTATTATTATTAATAGTAGTAGTAAGAATAATTTGACATTTTACAAATATTTGATTCATGGGTCAAAATTTCTTTATCGAATCAAATATCATCTCATAAAAATTAGGGAACTGAATTATTCGAATTAAACAAAAACAAATCAAACAAAACTATTTTTTTGTTACTGGATTTAGTTTTCCGATTTTCACATTTGATTTGGACGAAAGATTTTAAAATTTCCGCAATATTAACATGAAATAATTAGAAATATATTTTACTAAACTAGTCTTATTAAATATATTTGAAATTTCAAATTTAAATATTACTATTTTATATAGCTATTTAATAATATAAATAATATGAGAAAAAAAGAATATAACTCTCTTTATTTAGTAAAATAGACAAATACAATAAAATATTTATCTTAAATTTTATAAAACCAAATAAAATTAAACGATGGGAGTACAAAGGCAAATTGAAAGATAGAATGCATCCCCAGACATAAAATCAAGATAAGTCTGCCCATGCACATGAGGAACCTTTCTCCATTTATTTGGCCCTATCAAATATAGAGATGTTTTGTCTATTTTGAAAAGAATATTATTTTTATACTACTTTTAGTAATTTAATTCATATAAAGTGAATTGTTGGGACTTGCGATAAGACACATTCCTTAAGAAAATATTAAAGACATAAATTAGAGACTACTTTTAATTATCATTCTTTTGATTATTTTCAAATCATTATTCAAAGAAATGTAAAGTAGTTAAGAACCTCATTAAATGAAGGATAAATTTTAAAAAAAATCTCAATAATTTTTTAAAATTTTGAATAATTCACTTATTTTGAACTATAAAAAAAGTCTTAATAATTGACTTAATATAGAGTAGACTAGATAAAGTATTAAATAACTATATAAAAAGTGATTGTCAAATTTAAAATAATTTTCAAAACTATTAACATGATAAAATACATTTTAATCGTATCAAACACACATCAAGATAAGAAATACTCCATCACTAATTAAAGATCTTGAATTAGTGGAGAAAAAAGGTTGCAAAGTGAAAAAGTCATCGAGTCACCTAGAGGGTAGGACTTGCTGATTACCTTGGAAGTTGAGCTCTCAATCATTTGCCCATCTTACTCTCAAATTCATAATTTGACAGCTAAGCTGATTATCTGCTTTATTTCTTTATTTTTTATAATGTACTTGCAATTTTAATACAGTAATATTTAAATTTTAAAATTTGAGGCTTTAAATTAATTGTGATTGAATTTAAAATTATGTTTAGATATGTATTATACTTAAAAATACTTTAAAGGTTTATAAGAAGCAGTCCTCAAGAAAGATCAAATTAGAGGTCAAAATTTTATTAAAAATATTTAAAAATAAGATTTCTAAATATGATCAATTAAATATTTAAAATATTTTTTAACAATTTTTTGGCCAAACGCTAGTTTAGGTGCCTATTTGTCTAATCTAAACTCTAAACCAAGCTATAAATAATTGCACAATGATATTGATAAAAGGCTGTAATCATTTTCCAACATAAGCAAGTACGATCAATTATTTAAACAATAAACAAATAAATATTTAGTATTTTTTTATGACCGTCTTGTCTAAATTAATTTGTTCACATCTAGACTAGTTCAAAAAATGCTTTATTTGCTGTAAAACTTAAGAACAAAATAACAATATAAAGATGAAGACAAGAGGAACAATATGAGATAACTTTCTTTCTTTCAAGTGTACACAAAATCTTCAAGTGTATACAATATGAACCCTTATGCCTCTATTTATAGTGTAACATAGAGGCATACAAAAGGTTAGTCATGAACATGACATTAACATGAATATAATGGGGGAGGTTATGGAAGTGAAAAGTTACAAGAATTATGGTTATAAAGGTGGAGGTTATGAAGGTTATGGTTATCTTCGTAATAGAGGAAAGTAATGGAGTAACTTCTTGATGTAGTGGACATTCACAATATATTATTTTATTACGCTCCCCCTTGGATGTCCATAGATAATATGTCTCGTTAAAACCTTACTAGGAAAAAAACCCCGTGGGAAAAAATTCTAGTGAAGGAAAAAGAGTACACATATCTTTTAATACGCTTTGAATGTTGCCTCGTTAAAAACCTTACCAGGAAAACCCAATTGGAATAAAACCCTGGTTAAGAAAAAAAGTACAACGCATATTTTTCTCCCATTATAAAAACTTTACTTGATATCTTGGAAACAATGCATTCCAATCTTGTATCACAACTTTTCAAATATTGATGTTGGCAATCTTTAGTGAATAAGTTTACAAGATGATCACTTGAATGGATCTTTGAACGTCTATCTCACCATTTTGTTGAAGATCATGTGTGAAAAAACTGTAACATCTCGCAATTTGAAATAACTAGGAAGAAGCTAATAATTGGAAATAGCCATTTTTGGAAAGAATGAAAATTTGGAAAATTTGTTTGAGTTATGAAAAGTTGAATTTTGGCCAACTTCAAACAGCCATAACTCCTAACTCAGGATGAGTTAGGTGTATCCTGAGTTAGGTGTACTTCTAGATATGGTTGGAAAGGTCTTGGAACGATCTTTCCAACGCCGCCAAGATTTTGCAAATTCGAGTTTGTATGAGTGAGAAACGCCCATTGGAAGTTGGGCTGTTCAAGTAAGGAAATGTCCAATCCGAATTTTTGAAGGGTATTTCAGTCTTTTCCTTATCCAATTAATGAAATTCGTTTTAGTGAATTAATTAAGGGTCTAAACTAAACTTGGTCAGTTTATGTTTTTACGATATTGAGTTAGGGTTTTAGAAAAGAGAGAAGAAGAAGAGAAAGGAGGAGAAGGAGCAAGAATCGTCAAGTTCTTCAAGAATCGCTT